CACCAGTGGCTTCAAAAGCAATCATTACGGACATCCGGATCGGTTTCACTTCAAACCTATTTATGTCAAATGGTTTCCCAAAACATTTGAAACAGCGGATGACATTTGAAATGAATTTTATTAAATATAGTAATTTTGTTAAATTTACTATACATTTGTATAAATTATAATAAAAATATGACATGATTTATATCATGAGACTATCCGATATTTTATTTTTTCAATGGATTATAAGAGTTTTGTAATAAAAGGAACATTTAATAGAAATCCGGTTCAACTCAATGGCAATTGTTATGAATACTTGTTATCAGTAATAATCTTATCAAATCACTTGACATTCGTTTGAAAAGTTATAAATTCATTAACAATCGATTGAATTCTATAAATATAACTCAATTAACAAATTTTTAATAGTTAAAATGAAGTCTATATTTGTGGCAATAATTTTCAGTTTAGTTTCTTTTGAATGTGTCTTAAGTTTCAAATATTATTACATCACAAACGATGGTATTATTCATTCAGATGTCACTTATAATGAGACAATGGATTTGCCCAAAGAAACGGTGGCTTTACTTATATATGAAAATAATGTCAACAAAACCGGGTATTTATTTCTTAATCCAGAATATTTTAAGCATTAAGTTATTATAATATGTATAATATATGTATTATATAATAATTTTACTAAATTTATTGAAAAGTTGGGCGAATTTAGAGTTAAGAACTTATGAGGGCTTCTCGGATGAGATTCAGTCATATATGGCTGGAGTTATCGAGGGATACATTACTGGAGAACTAATTCATATGAATTATCGCAATCGGATTGAAGGCTATTGTGATGAAAGGAAAAGATTTTGTGAATTACTTAAAGAATTTACTGAAAATAACACAAAATTTGTGGAAACAATGATTGAAAAGAATAAGAATAATGATTATTGGCATCAATTGGATCTCATATACAAACAGATCAATGGATTAGAAGAAGGATACAAAGTATGGAAAGTCGAGAATAACATCAAAAATCCAACTGAAAGACAATATTTAAGTGAAATTTTTTGGATAAACGTTGACTCGGAATTGTCTAATTTGAGGACAATATTAACCCCGAACTCAACGGTTCGTTATCGAGGCCACTGTTCAGCAATTGTCAAACCCCTGGCCGATGGGAGTGACCTATTTGTTGCTCACAATACTTGGAGTGGATTTGAAACAATGCTAAGAATTATGAAGAAATATAGCTTTGCTTTCAATACATTGCAATCAAATCATACGAAACGAATTGCTGGACATTCCGCGGCTTTCTCTTCATGTGCGGGTCGTATATTCTCTGGCGATGACTACTATGTCTTATCCTCTGGTCTTGTGGTTCAAGAAACTACAATTTCAAACCGAAACCTTTCCCTTTATAAAGATATAAAAGCTGATAAAATAGTCTTTGAGTTCATTCGCAATGTTGTGTCCAATCGTTTGGCCGAATCGGGCAAAGAGTGGACACAACTGTTTGGTCCGTATAATAGCGGGACTTATAATAACCAGTTTATGATCGTTGACTACAAGCTCTTCAAAAAGGGGACAAAAGTGTCTGAATTGGCCGACAATTTACTTTGGATTGTGGAACAGTTGCCGGATTTCATACACTCGGCTGATGTGACTCCTGTATTAAGATCACAGGGCTATTGGGCCTCTTATAATGTGCCATATTTTCAGGATATCTATCAAATTAGTGGTAACGAAGACTTATCCCGCAAATTGGGACCCTATTATAGCTATAATCTGACGGCTCGGGCGCTGATCTTCAAGAGGGAAGAATCAAAAGTAATTGATTTGAAGACATTGTATTCACTGATGCGTTACAATGACTTCAAAAAGGATCCGTTGTCTGAATGTAAAGTATATAACAAG